GGTGCCACCCTTTTAAATCCCTTCTTTTCATGTAAACTGATGAGACAGCCTGTCAGTGCAAGACCACTCTCTTTAAAGCATTTTGCTCATCTTTGTCCACCCGATGAGCAGTTTCAAAGCTTTCCTGTTCCACCCTACATCAGAGCTGGGAAAGGTGCATGTCTCTCTCTGAGCCTTCATTCTCCTTACCACAGAGCAGTGTTTGTGAAGCAGATTCATAGTGTGGATCTCCTCCCCTGTCAGCCCCGTGAGCTCCATTGGGTGGAGCTCAGTTTTGACATTCCTTTTAATTTGTTTGGTCTGACATGTATTTGATTTGGAATCTCTGTGCAGTCCCACACAAACTGCATCTGAACCGAAGCAGTTTGCATGTGCAGCCTGTGTGTGTTTAATGTATGGAGGCTGCATGCATGCTTTAGGGAGATTTGGTGGAGGGTGTAGTACAGGTATGTGCTAATTTGTGGATACAGAAACAAAGATCACTCTTTGATGGGCATATTTAGGTAGAAAGGGTATTGTCATGATTTGCAGACCTAAGTAGCAGTCTGCCTCATGAGATGGTTTAGATGAGGAGATTTAGGTTCCGTCCTATAGACAAGTGCATTTGTCTGCTTCCTTCTCTTTTAACACTGTAAATAGATTGTAAATTACGATAGTGACTTTCATGGTGATGCCAATATTGGTTAAATCCATCTGTGAATGATGTTCTCTAGCAGCATGTTCATGTGTTGCAGTATATATCCTACCTATTAAACTCATGTCTGGTTTGGGTAGACATAATTTCTTCATTTCTCCATAGAGCTTTAAAAAGCAGGGTGGGGAAAAGGGGAAGAGAGAGAGAGAGATGTACACAGTCTTGCAATACAACACAGCCAGTCCCTGGTGTGAGGCTGCTGCTTTGCTAGATTGTTTCTGACAGCTTTGATGCTGACTACCTTATCACTTTTGTTATAGAAATTAAGCATCACAGGTTAAGTATCTTCTTTTGCAAGTGTCACTATTGCATTTCCTCCAACCTCTGCAAACATATTCCTATGCTTGTTGTGTCTCATTTGATATTAAACAACACTGACTGAAATGTACTGTTTTTGTGCTAGAAGGATCTTATTATGAGATGCCTTCATTTCATTTCTCTATATTGAACAGAGCACAGTCTTCCTTGATCCCTCCTCTGAAATATCCCTGCTTTCTCATGGTCCCTGAATGTGACGACCATTCATCTGTGAACATGGGAGTTATATACAGGCAGACATACTGAAACAAACTTTTTCTCACTTCTCCATATAGGCAGTTTGTCCCTGGGCTCCCCACAATACTGTGCCTAAGCTGTATCTGCTTAATCCCCAGAGACTTGGTGCTTGTAGCAATGCCTCCGCTGTGAGGAATAAATGAAACATGCCTGTAGTCCATGCTCACGGCTCTACCAGCAAAAAATAAAGGGGAGAGGGCATTTTGTGGGTCAGGAAATACTTGGGGAGCATTCAGGCTGAGCAGCAGCACTGCAGTGCTGTGCACTCCCAGGTGCCAGGCTCATCCCTCCAAGGTAGGGACCAGCCAGGAGGGCTTGGTCTCCTCAAGTACCTGCTCCATAAGGACATGGGTGGTAGTGGTTCAGCTGAAAAGCCCAAGACTAAGGGCTGACAAGCAGGTGTTTGCTGGTGGGATTACAGCTTTTCTCACTGCTTTGGCTGAGGTGTGAATACAGCAGTAGCTGACGGCAGTGCCAGGAGAAGCACCCGGATGGGATTTCGGCAGCTCAGGGAAGGTGGTGTGGCTGCTGGGATGGGCTTTTATACCCCTTAAAATCACTCTGAGTAGTCAAAAGGAGAGGAAGAGTAATTTAAAATGCAGTTGCTGCTTGTAAGAGGAGTGGTTATTATAATATTGAAGCATTGTTTTGGGAAAATTCTATGTGGCCCAGTAAAGAAAAGGCTTTAAAAGATTTAGCTGCTTAATCCTGCTTATCTGCTGTTAGATCTTCACGAAATCTCCTGGAGAGATTCAGAGCAGCATCTCAATGCACAGACCTCACTCAGTGTCTCAACAGCTCCTCTTCCTCAGCTTAGAGGTTGGGGAAGAAGGAACGTGCAGCTCATTGCGTATGTAATTGCTCCAGCTAATGAGCAGCAGTCATTTTTTTCATTAACACCCAATGATCTTTACATTTGTATCCTTAAAATGTTCAAATGGTTCTGATTAATAATCTGGAGAATAGTCTGTGCCTTCTCCCAGATGAAGTGCGGCACTGGAATGAACTGAAGATTCTTTAATGATGGTGTAGTAGCTGTAATTATTCTATAGCTTTCATTCTGCTTTCACCTTTGGTGAGACGTGTTCCCTCAAAGGACAGTTCTAGCAATTCTTTTGTCTTCCACTAACTGCAGAAATGCAGATGGAGAGGGATCCAAGCTCTGTCTACAGTTCAGAAACTACCATATAAATTGGAGCAGAAAAATATTATATGGTAATGTTTGATCTATATCTTAACTTTCCAGTGTGTTATTGGCATTCTATCATGTGAAACATAAACATGGTACTGGCTTGCAATAAATGGAAGGTCTCCAGAGCTGGGTAGCTAAAGTCACTTATGTCTGCTATCTTCTGTTCAAGGGTGTGGGGTTTTATGCTACATTTCTACTTGTTGAGATTATTAAAATGCAGGATTTTATTTCTCCCCTTTCAGTCATCTAATAAGGTTTTGGCTATTGCTTCTGAAAAAAAAATTAAAAATTGTGACTTAATAAACTCCGAGGCTGTTTATTTTTAAGACTTCTGCAGAGGTGCAGAGACACTTATGTCAGTAATGTATTCCTCTGAGAAGGTATCAGCATTTACTGTACAGACACCTATTGGGCTGTTTCATTTAGTTACCAGAGACTTGAGGCTACATTGCTTTAAAAATAAATTCCTTGTTGTATGGGATGCTGAGGTGAAGAACCATAATTACATGCAGACCCAGATTTCTTCCTTTGTACTTGTTTTCTTGATGTTATTTGGGAGGTAGGACGGGACTTCAGTTTGACTATAAAAACTATAGTTCCTATGACTTTTTTTCTCCCCTTTTTATTGTGCAGTTAGCCAAAATTCAGTCTTCAATTGACCCACCAGAGGAATTGGTGGAGATAGTTATTTAGGTACATGTATGCAAAGTCCTTCTCTCTGGAAACAGGAGGGTTTGTTTATCAGGGGTCACATCTCTGTACTTCTCTTGGGTCAGGCTCCTCTCCCTACATATCCCAAATGGTTTGTCAGACATGTCAGAGCCCAAGTCCAGCTCAGTGCAAGAGTTTTCTCCCCCTGGCATGTATCTGCCTATGTCACCAGCTGAAACTCTTTGCCCAAACAGTTCAGATCCCAGATCTTATTTGTGTATGCTCTTGTTTGGGGTGCATACAGAGAATTTGATGGATTTGGGATCTGGAGACTGCTGTTCTCACCAATACCACCAATGTGGAGAGTCTCACAAAGCACACACTTCTGTCTTTGATGTGGACATCTCCAGGTGCCCTCTGTATAGATTTATCAAAGCAGAGAAACCAAATCTTGAGGGGCTTTGCCTGTTGATCACAATTCCTATAGAAAAAGCCATCTCAGAGCAGTTGTTCTGGCATGGTGCCCAGCATGGACACTTCAGTCTGGAGTAGAGGGGCCAGGATGGAGATGGATTTTGAAGGGTTCCTTTGGTCCCTTTGACTCAAGTGCCAAGGTTGGCAAGTGTGGGTTCTGTTTTCTTTTTATTGCTTTTTTAAAAATTATTTATTATTTATTATTTTTTTCTTCCAGATTGAGGTTATCCCCTCAAATTCTTCCAGGCAGTTTCCTCCTGTAGGTAGAGCCTTTTTCATACATCCCACCAGGCACCAGAGCTGGAGCACTGCTCTGAACAGGATTTGTGTTCTCTTTCACCTTGGTTTCACTCTTTATCTTCTGAGTGCAGGAGAGAGGCAGGTGACTTCATGAATTGACTGAAAGGCTATACACTTAAAGGCTTTTTTTAAACTGCATTTGAAAGATAATTTTAAGTTTAATAAACACGACTACAGTAATCAAGTGATATTCTGAAGATATAACCTTTATGTGCATTAAGCTGCTTATTTTTAATACTTGATAGTTTGCTTTATACAGTGTTATTTCCGCTTTCTTTTATAAATATTGCATTAACTTCATTTTCTCTGCACCAGTTGAGCATTTTTGTTGTCAAGGATTTGGCATAAAGGAGTTTGGACACTTGAGAGCTTCAACGTTGCCCAGTTTCAAACCTGGTTACCAGGTGGCTGCTTTCAGGTGACAGCTTCAGATGAGGAAAAATTCGACTGGACATATATGAACATGTGGAAAATAACGAGGCCTTTTTTTGGTATTTAGAAACCTGGTGCAAAAAAACCAGAAGATGAAGATAGCAACATGATTAATCCCAGGAACATAAATGTTGTTTATAACCTTTAGACAGAAATGCACCCGATATCACAGTAGTTACTATTGCAATGAGAAATTTCTCTCAAATAGTTCCTGGAAGTGCAGAAAGGAGAAGTAGCACTTCTCACAAAAGAGGGAAATTATAGAAGTTGCTGGTCAAAAGACATCATTGTAATTTTGTTTGTTTCTACAGACACTGTTTTTATCAAACTTCATCACATGCAGCAGTGGTGGTGGGTAATTAAGTACAACAGTTTACCTGGTGGTGGCATCAGTGGCACTGCATGACCTGTGTTTTGGATACCAGGAGCTCTCACTGCAGACCATGGCAGGCAGTGGGCACATTTCCATGAGGATTTTTGTCCCTTGGGTGCACAGTGGCCTGTTACCTGCCAGATGGCTTCACATGGGGAGGTCAGGCACCACTTTGCACCTGTGTTTACTGCACGGTCCAAATTTCAGCTTCTCCTTCTCTTGCTGCAGCCCCATCGGATGTCTGTGGCTCCTGACCTAGGCTTTCCCTCCTGATTTTTTTTTTTTTTTTTTGCTGCTCATGTGTGTCTTCTCTCTCTCTGACTTCCCAGCCGCTGGGCCAGCCGCAGCACCACCACACAGCGCAGGAAGGACCGCCTGCGGCAGCACTCGGAGCACATCGGCTTGGACAATGATTTGAGGGAGGTAGGTGGCATCATCTGCGGGCAGCACAAGCTGTGATCCAGGAGGTGGAGGTTTGGACAAACAATGTGCTTATTGCTTAGGGCAGTTTTGTGGCTACTGTGATATTTGTTTGGGTCTCTGTAGCCATTTAGATGCCCGCTTTGCTTGTCACAGATGCTTGTATATGTTGTATAACTTCAAAGTACGCAACATAAATAAAGTGCTTTTATTATTTAGGAAAAAGACAGCCCCGTTGTCTTCAGAAAAAATGGCTTATTTGCTGGTTTAGACTCTGGTCATGCTGCTGCATGCAGGCAGCAGAGCCCTTGTGCTTTCCTGAGTGCAGCTGCTGAGCTCTAGCCAGTCTCTGGAAAAGTCAAGTCCTTGAATAAATGTCAGTGCTGTAGAAACGAATGAGGCAGGGTTCTTTCCTTTCTTTTAAAGGAATTTTTTTTTCTTTCTCTTGTGTAGATTCCTGACATGAGTAAGCCTATTTGAAAGGTTAAGACTTTGGGGCCTTTTTATGCCTAAAGCTTGGAAACTCCCATGCATCTTTTAAATGTCAGTCACATACATGCATTTCTTTCCCATCTTTTCAGTTCCTTGTCCTTCGTTAAATATTTTCTGCCACATTTTTCCATTGATGTCCATGTGCTTCTTTTGTATGTCAATAGCAAAAATAAAACACTCATGCTGTTTTGTGGTAAATCTTGCTGAATAACATTGACAGTGTTGGAGTTTGCCCTCTGAAAGGACCTGAGCAGATGAGTGGACTCTTCAATTATAGCTTCAAATGACGTTTCAATGGAAACACAGCAAAACAGCACTTTTACATATTTGTTGCTATTTTTGCTAATGTGGCTTTGCAAGTATATTTTAAACAGTGCCTCGTGTGTATCTCAGCAGAGCCTTTTCAATACTTTGTCATGTATTTACTTTTTTCTTTTTTTGGCTGTGGATCATATGCATGCTTCTTTTGCTTTGTCTCCTCTTTCTTTCTGGCTGTTCTGCCATTGGGGCATCTGCCTCCTCTTAGCCATCGGAGGAGCTTTTGCTTCGTCAGAACTCAATGGCCTTCTGGGAGTGGGATCAGGGACCACCCCCTCCTGCACGGCCTCCTAAAAAATCCTTCTCTGAATGCTGCCTGGTATGTTTTAGTTTTTCTTGTTGAAAGCTGCTTTTGAGATGTTGCTAGCATGAGGAACCTCTGTCTTCACGGCGCCTCAAACCTCTCCCTTTCTCGTAGAGTAGGAGCACGGTCCCTGTAGTGCTTGGAAGTGTGGTTATAATCAGAAAAGTAGCTGGAAATGAGCTTCCACTTCAGTTCCCTAGCAAATACACTGGCTCCAAGGCTGAAAGACAAGAATTTGTTTCACTGTCTTTTTTTTTCCCCGTGTTGCTAAGCTGGTGTCAAATCCAAAAATCATCACCTTCTGACTGCTGAATCATTGCATCCCAGTGTGGAAGAAGGTGGTGGTGGATGTTGATGAACAGGCAAAGTGCAATCAACCTTGTTCTTCTGTTGAACTTACAAGAGCTAATACTATTCTTTTTTATTTTAGTGTAATAAGATATATCATGAATAAAATAAGGTTATCCATGTTTTGTACTCTTCAGACTATAACCACACTTTGCATTTAATTTATCCCTTTAAAAAGAAATATTAGATTTCCTAGTTATATATTCCCTTTATTATTTTTTTCACTTTTTTTGCTGTTAATTTTTGCACCGAGTTAGATGGAAGTCACTTGTGAGATTGCTTGATGGACAACACGCTTTCATCATCTGTGACTTTTTTTTTAATTCCCACCTGTAGTTTTTCAACTATTTTAAAATCCTTACGGTATTGGTGCAACTGTAATCGCCTAACTGAGCGCTTTTGATGAACACAGCTTTTCATGGCAGAACCCTACGTTCTTGTCTGACCTGTTGGGGTGACCTTAAGTGGTTCTTGTCCAAATTTTGTGTTGAAAAAATCCAGTTGTGTCAGAAAAACTGTACAATCCCTAAAAAAAAAAAAAAAAAAAAAAAAAAGTGAGCTATTTCAATTAACTTCAATATGTTTGGATTTTGCTTTTACTTTTCCTGATCTAGTGGAAGGTGTCCATGCCCTGGCAGAAAGGTTGGAACTACATGACCTTTAAGGTCTCTTTCAACCCAAACCATTCTATTATTCTATGAAATAAATTTTCTGCCCAGACAGAAAGCTCCAAGGATGCAACAGCCATAGTGACCTCTCAGTTTCCCAGAAAACCCAGCCAGCAGCAGCACCAAGTCCCTGGGGGAGATGTGATCCAGCCCTCTCTGGGAAGGAGTGATCATTGTCACATACCATCCCCCAAAGAGGCATCATTAACTGGATGAAAGCACACTATGGAAGCAGAGCATTCCCACACCAGGCTATGAGCACTGTGTTTCAAGACTTTTATTTAGCATCATTCTATTATCTTACTCTTTTTTAACAAAAACTTTATGAATAATGCTTGAACAACTGGCCAGCTTCTCATCCTTGCTCAGCCCTCTCGCTGATGTTTGGGTCAGAGATCACTTGTTGATTTTTTTTTGTTGATGTGTTTTTTGGCTTAACAAATGAAAGCCGAACCAAAAAATACCCCACCCCTGAAGACAAGGCAGTGGAGCAGGAAAGTTTAAAAGTCTTTTATTACAGCTTGGATCTTTCTTTAAAGAGTATGCTGATTTTTTTGTCCATACTTCACAATTACCACTCCATATAAAAATGATCCTTACTGTCAGTTCTGTTTAAAATGAGCTTCACTCGTAATCAAGAAGTTAATTGAGAATAAAGACAAGTCTCATTTTTCCCACATAAACTATCCAGATGAAAAGTAATGGATGAAATCTTTCTCCTTCACTAAGTGTATTTCTACTTCTTGTAATTTATTTTCAGACGATTTTTTTTTTTCTATTCACATATAGTCTGATCACAAATTAGTCAGTTTTTTTATTTATTTTTTTTAAGTGAGACTTAACAGTGAAAAGAAACTTTACTGAGTGTTTTGACTTTATTGCTTAATGAAGGTGTTGCACTTTATGCACCTGCTGTGCCTAACTTCATACTGGTGGCTAACAGCACAGTTCACTAGCTAGTGTTGACTGATTCTGTACCACACAGGAAAATATCTTGCTTTTTCTGTTGTCAGAAGGAATCGCTCCACTCCTCCAGGCTGACACCTAAACATCAGACAAATCAAGATTTTGTTCCTAGATTAACACTAGCTCGTTCCTTTCCACCAGCATTTGCTTGCCTAGGATTAGGATGAGGAGAGTCCCTCTGACTTGTAATATCTAAAATTATTCTCTTTATTTTTAGAAATACATGCAGGAGGCAAGGAGTTTGGGGAAAAATTTAAGGCAGCCCAAACTCTCAGACCTCTCTCCAGCTGTGATTGCACAAACCAACTGGAAGTTTGTGGAAGGGTTGCTGAAGGAATGTCGCATGAAGGTAGGTCGTCCCCTGTGTTTCTCCCCTTAATTACACTGAGCCTAAATAGCATCTGCAGATGGTGGTCTGATTCAAAGCTGGAGTCGCATTAGTCTGTTGGAATACCAGGCTATTCACCAGAGTGGATATCCCTTTAGTGTAACATTTACATTAGTATTACCTATAGTGTAATATAGTATATCAGTAAGTGTATCTTTAGCGTATCGTTAGTGGTACATTAGTGTATCAATTTAGTGTTACATTTTTCAACAGCTAGAAAAGAAAGGAACGTGTCCTCGCTCTTCTATTTATGCAGTTGAAGTTGATGGAAAGAGTAAAAAGGACAGGAAGGAGAATCAGTGTGATCAGACATCTCCAGGAGGATTTCTTTTAGTTGTTAGTATTTACATGTAGCCTAAACAGAACGGGCTCGAGACCCTCAGTCAAAAGGGAAGACTTCAGCATGTGTCACTTGTGCATGTTGTTTATGCAGAGCAAATGAGGTATAGCAGTTTCAAATATTAAAGGAGCTTTTATAGACATGAAAGTGTAGCTTGTGTCTGTTGCAGCTGGTGTTATACTGCATTACCTGAGTGTTAAACTTTAATGGTTGTAACAAGAAGAAAACCAGAAAGTCAGTAAGACTGAAAATGTATCTAGTGCTTTTCTCTGTTTTGCTCTATACTCTGCTTGGTAATAGATCAACAGTGTAGGAATAGGACAATGGATAAAGGGTATAGAAATAGGACAGCTGGAAGAGGCTCCCCAGGGAAGTGGTCACAGCATCAGTTCAAAAAGAGTTCAAGAAGTGTTTGGACAATGCTCTCAGGTACATGGTGTGATTCTTGGGGCTGTCCTGTGCAGGATCAGGAGTTGGGCTTTGATGATCCTCGTGGGTTCCTTCCAGCTCAGGATAGTCTGTGATTTGAAGTAATCATGCAAACTTTTTTTAATATAATTATTCTTGTTAATTTACAAACCCTGTAAAGATATTTAGACTTTCTCTGGTCAGGCTATTAGCAATGGTTTCTGTATTAAGCACCTTTAAGTGAACTCATCTAGAAATTCTGTCCCTTGCTGGATAATATTCTTAGAAACCTTTGGGGATTTTTTTTTTTATTTATTTGTAGACTAAACGCATGTTGGTAGAGAAGATGGGCCATGAAGCAGTTGAGCTGGGACATGGAGAAGCCAACATAACAGGTCTGGAGGAAAATACATTGATTGCTAGTCTCTGTGATCTGCTAGAAAGGATCTGGAGCCATGGTCTGCAGGTCAAGCAGGTTGGTAGCTGGAAACTTGGAACTTTGTGTGAACACTAGTCTAGCAAACACTGAATGCCATCACTACCTTTTAAGCTGCTACTCAGTGGTGTCATTCCAACATAAAGTGGGAGGTACCTTTGGGCTTGGAGTCCCTGGTTCATATCTTGCTAAGGTTGAGGAGTTTTGGGTGTTAGGGATGGGGGGGGGGGGGGGGGGGGGTGGGTTTTTGTTTTTTTTCTTTTTCTATTTGAGAGGTGCCTCTGGAAACTGCAGAGATGTTGTCAAGTATGTGTTTGATTTCTTCTCTTTCAACCTTCACAAGGAAAACCCAGAGAGAGGACAAAGAAACAAGGTGGGTGGTGTGACTGTTAGGTCAGTGGGATGGTCCTCTCTTTTTCCTAAGATTTCATGATCCAAGAGAGAAGGATTGATTATAATTACTGAACCTTTTACCCATTTAAATGCCATTCCATTTTGCTGTGTTTATTGGCCTCTTTTCTTTTGCCTGAATTTATTTAAAGCTGCGTGCTGTGTATTCCATTTTCAGGGGAAATCTGCTCTGTGGTCCCATTTGCTTCAGTACCAAGAGAGAGAAGAGAAGCAGGAGCACAGTGCAGAGTCACCAGGTAAGTACTTGGCAACTGACTCCGTGAAGGGTCCATCACAGTGAATGAACTTGGGCATGGGAGGAACAGTGCAACCGTAGGAATCCATGCAGGATTTTTGGTGTATTTCTTTGCTAATATCACATTTACATTTTGAGATTTTCATCATCACTGTGAGGATGTCTTGATGTCTGGACTAAATAGATTGAAATCCTTGGAGGCAAAGGAACATAGTAACTATCTTTGTCTGGAAAAATCACTTGATGTATGTTCACTACCTACATTTCCTTTTAATCAGCATTGAGTGAGGTGTGAGAAGCAGTGCTTCCACAAGAGATGATTTCTGTAGAAGCTGAAAGTGTGGAAGTGGGGGTAAGACAGCTGATATTTTTCTTTCAGTGAGCATAATCTGTCTCTCAGATCCCAATGTGAATAACTCCATATTCACTAAATCTTTATACTGGTGGATGGTACAGTTCAGAAACTGTGTAATTCATCTCTGTACATCAGTCTAGGTGCTCAGTTTAAGCTTTGGCTTGGCCCTTCACAATCACTAAATTACTTCTGTGCTGTGAGAGAGATTGGTTTTCTGATGACCTGGAGATCTCCCTGCCCAGTGGCTGGGGTATTGTAGTGAAAGTCTCTGAACTTTAGTTGGTCATCTTCCAAGGACTCTCCAATCCAAATCCTGCTGATGGGAACTTGTATGGTCAGTCCTCAAAGATGCATTTATGGAAAAACTAGTCTCTCCCATGAAAAGACTTTTTAATAAGCTTCAATGAGTAATGCACTAAACAATCTGGCTGGCAGGCACAAATTCCTGAGAGCAAAATGTGTCACCAAAAAGCGGTTTGATCAGTAGCAGAGCATAGAAATGCATGGCATTCTTAGCATTGAATATGTTACTGTAGCTTAATTTTATCGAATTCTTCTCAGTTGTGAGTTTTTCCTAGAAACATCAGATTTATGTTAATGTATTTCACATACAAAAAAGGAAGCTAAATCTCTGAATTCAGTGCTGGATTAAGGAAGGAATAGGTAATGTATTCAGCATTTTTCATTTTGTCTATTTCTACGTTTCCAGGATGGAGTTAGTGATAATGCACAGAAACTCTGCAGTTACCAGCCACTTATGATTGTTTCAGCTGTATGTGAAACAAATGCATTGCAGACTATTTCTGTAGTGTTGCATTAACTTCATGTGTTTTCTCCATTGTAGTTGGTGTTGGAACAGAAAGACGAAAGTCTGATACAGGAATTACTCTGCCTACATTGAGGGTTTCCCTGATACAAGATATGAGGTACGCAATTTGGTTCCTAAAGCATTGATTGTGGTTTTAACTGTGTAGCATAAGGTAAAGATCCACCCTGGCTTTGGGTCTACAAAGGCTAAGGAGAATTAAACCTTCTCTTCAGCCCACATTCAAATCTATGACATATTGCCTTTCTATTTTGAAAAACCTTTTTTGCATGTTCACTTGATCTATTTTATCTAAAAGACAGTGAAAGCCACATGCGTTTTACTTGGATTTTAGTTTTCCCTGGGTGGGGTTCTTCCAGCAGTAAAGCCAACTTCTATAACTGACAGCAGATATGTTGAATTCCTTGGTTCTTTGAGTTTGTTTCTTTTTGTTTGTGTCAAAGTACTGACTGAGCAAGTACAGTTGATAAATAGAGCAAAGGGACGTAAAAACTTGCTCGCAATGCCTGAGCAACGTTCTTTCTTCTCAGCTAGCATTTTATGGCAAATAGTAATAAATGAACAAATATAGAAATGTATTCAAATTTAGAATTTGGATGAGTTTAAAGCTAGGATGTGAAGTTAGGGCAGGTGCTCTGCAGGAGACCACAGCCTAGCTACGGAGACCTATTCAAGCAATGTTAGTTTGGAACCAGGAGGGTTAGAGGGTAAGAAGAGGTGGAGGCTGGTGTGACAGCACCAGACAGAAGTTCTTCAGGGCATCTTCTTGATCAAGCCACTGCCAGGTCAGGCTACTTTTTTGACACTTGTTTTGCTGGGGTTAAGGATTGCAGTGGGCTAAATGTACCATGAAGAGAGAGGAGGACTAACGCAATAATGCACATCTGTAAAGAGCTGCTAACAACTGCTGGCAATTTAACGTGTGAGACAATATGAGTACTTCTTCTTGTAATACATGTCCTCCTTCCACATAAAAATATGGCAAAAAATCTTATGGCAAAAATAAAATTAGTTGTAGTAAGTTCACAAAACCGTGATTACGGCAGTGTGATTTTTACTATGTGTATTGATACAGATATATTTTTTTTCTGATGTGAGATCACACAGATTAGTCAGACTTTTCTGAAAGAAAATCACTGTACTTCCCACCTGCAGTGTCCAACCTTTTTGTTTGATGCTACATAGTGTGAGTCTTGTGCTCTGATTTTGAAGAATATGACATGTCACATAAGGCTAAAACAACATGCAAAAGTGGGAGAGGGAATATATACAGTGTAATTAGGAGTATGGTGCCAAGAGGTCATTTTGAACATGTGTCTGTCATTTTAGCATCCCTCTCATGGGATGTGGCAGCTATCTACTTAATTCAGTCCTGCAAGGCTGACAGGCATGCAGAGGGTCAGTCTGAGGAAAGGATGAAAGAGGATCTGGAGCGGAAACTCACGTGCTGGGAGGGAATTGCTGACAGAGGAGGCTGTGTGTGCTCACTGCTGCGTGCAGGGGTTCTGTCTTCCACGTACTTCCACTGGAGTAATGAAAGCTCAGCATGGATCTGAGCTCTCTTGTTTGAATCACAAAATTCTTTCTGCTGCTCTTCAGAGGAAAAAGTACAGAAGCAGAACATTACCTTCTGTAATATCTTGGGTATTCGTGATTGTGCACAAACATGTCTGGTCATGGAAAATGCTGGGCAGATGGTGAGTTGAATTTGTCATCTGTAATCTCTTGGCATACTTTCTCCTGCTTGGAGGGAATGCCACTTAATATTTGTTTGCACACACAGATTCAGGCTGAAGTTAGAAGGATGGGTAATTGTTAAATTGCTGGGGTTGCGGTGCTAACTGAACTAGTGGCTGGAGGATTAAGCATTGCCTTAAGCATGGCTTGTTTTTGATGGCTCATGCAAGGTTATGTAAACAACTTAGAAAGCAGGGCTGAGTCACAGTCATGCTCTGAGTGTGCCATGAGCCTGTGCTACAGGTAAAGTGGTGTGTCCTCTACCTCCCCTGCCAAGCCAGGCATCTTAGATGTGGTAAGGAAGATGCTCAAGGTGTTTATTTTGGCTTTGTGCATGGAGTCTTGGCACAAGCATGTTTGGGGGTATGCCCTTCAGCTTCTCCCCTGGCGAGGATCTGCAGCATCTCTCCCACCCCTCTTCTAGCTCCCCGTCAGACTCCTGCTGCAACCTGCTTCCAGCATGGCCACAGCCCTCGGGCACATTGCTGCACGTCCAACCCAACCAGTCAACACCAAGGCAACTCCCCAAAGCCTTTGGTCCAGCTGGGTTCAGGTTTCTGATCCTTTCCCTTCAGGCACGTTCTTCCTTGCTATCAGCGCTTGCTTTCATGCCCGTGTTGTGCCTCCCCTCCTGCGGGGAACTTGCAAGTGGAGAATGTGAGCTGGGAGCTGGGCCCACAGCAGTGATACTTAATCTGCTGTGGTCAAAAAGAAGGCTTAGCCAAGACCTGCTGCCTACCTGGGATGAACTAATGTGGCTCGTTCCTGATGGTGCTGGGATGGGGAGCGTGCACACCATCCTCAGGGGCATGGCAGCACTGAGCAGTTTTAACCTTTTCTGTCAGCACAGCTGTTTACAGAGGGGGTGTCCTCCCATACCCCAGGCTTACATTTGACAGGGTAAATAGATTTTTTGTTATTACTAATGGGATTAAAAGCAAGTCCCAGCCAAGGGAGTTGCATTGAAATGGCTGTTCAGTGCTCTGACAAGAAGAGTTTGCTGTGCAGTGTTGAGCACACAGTACTTATGCTGAGGTCACTGATAAAAATAGAGCTGTTCTGACTCTCACAGCTGAGAGCGAATTAAATTTGGGTTCCTGAATGCCCTGTTCTGTTACACTCTGCTTTTGCTGACACCAAGACTGATTACTGGATCTTTTTAATGTCTCTGGCAAGCTGTATGGTTGCAGATCCTTATTTTTCCCAAATGCAGAATTAATGCTAATCTAGTCTGAGCCAGAAGCAGGTAATGAAGAGGCACAGAGCATGCATGGAATAAGGTTGAGTCCATCTGTACTTGAATCTTCTCACAGTGAAATAACATATTCTGCTCGGTGTTTCATATTAGATGTGATTCAAGCCGAGCACTCTGGGGGAAGGAGAGGGAGGGGGATGATAGTCTGTGCTTTGATCTTCCCATCTCAAAAGACTTGAAATGTCTGAGAAGAGTGTCTCAACACGATGTAGTTGAGTGTAATATGCATCCAGTTTCTCAAGGACTCCGGATCATGTGTCCAGCTGTGTGGCTTGGAAGGTCTAACATTGGCTACCACATCCTGAGCCAGGGATTTCCAGTGCCAGGAGCAAGGCTCTGAGCAGCAATTCAGATGGTAGGCATCACTGCTGACAAAAGGAGGCTGCTGAGCTTGGTTATAAAGGGCAAGGACATGTGTGTGAGTGTAATGTGCCCTCCTGTGTTTGTTTTACAGCTCAGCAAGAATTAGAACTTATCTGGTCCATCAGAAAACTATCCCTGTGTGTTAGTAAACAGGAGGAAGCTTCTTTAAAAAAAAAAAAAGGCCTTTTTTTTTCTTTTTTTTTTTTTTTAAGAGGGTTTAAGCAACCTAGGTTTTGCCACTGGCAAGCTACCATCACTCCTATTGATGGTGCTTCAGATATGTACGTACAGCACTGAGCTGTGTGATACAGACACCTCAGTGTGGATTGTGAAGGTAGACCCGTATTTTGAGAGTTGGGGCAGCCTGACGGAGAGCAGTGCAGCTGGACTGTGTCCAGTATCCACTTCATTTGTGCAGAGTGAACTTGTATTTCCAGACAGCACTAAGTTGTATTTGCAAATTTGCCCTAAAGGTCCTGAGCCTGTCACGTTAGAGGCTGTATAAACAAGAGAGTACTTTTGTCAAATAATGCAGGATCTAAATATAACATAAAGCACACGCTTGGGTGTAACAGATGGGGGAAAGCACAAGACAGTGAGACTATGGTAGTCAATGTAAAAAGCATCAGTCACAGCATGACTTCATTGGATTTCCTTTGGTGTAAATATTGCCTAGCACTCAGCAACGCGTGGAGGGCTGTCAAGGAAGATGCAGGAGTTGGACAGGAAATCGCAGCAGAGATCAGTTCAGACCAGCTGATGGTAGTTGGAGCCTGCCACAGAGATTTGGAGGGCTGAATCACCTGTGCACTTAACATGCAAACTGCATGAAAATGAAGAAATTGCAGCCTTTTCTTTCTCCTGCTGGAAACCGTTACTCATTTTTCTTGTTGTTTGTTTAACCAAGTGGGGGGTTTTTGGAAGCAGCTTGGCCTTGCCATGGCTGCTCTCTTCCTCTTATAAAACTCCCTGTGCTCTAAAATGAGAGTTTTCTGGCATTCTCCAAACTGAAATGTGGGAAGTTTAAAAAAAGAGAAAAGCAAAACCATAGAAGAAAGCCCCTGTGGAACAGTTCTGCTTTCCTACAGATGAAGCATGTGGAAGGCTGTTCAAATTATCACTTACACAAGGGCCTCTTATATCTCTGAAAATGTGATTCTGCTTGAGGCTTCCTGTTGCTGTTTTTGCCCCAATAGTCCTTTTCTTAGATTTCCCATTGCTGCTGCTCTCAAGGGGTTTGTAAGAGCCTTCCAAGTAGACTGTCATTTGGAGAAACTCTCAAGATACATGTTTGTCCTCTGCCCTCCCAGATGCACCCTTTTGATTCAGCAGCCTGAGGGGGCAACTGTGATATAACTGAGTGTCATGAGGTAGCTGCTTTTTTTAGGTTTTAGCAGTGTCCATGAGGACATCTACTTCCAGCAATGTGGGGATGAGCAGATTTACTCCTACTTACCTTGGCCAAGCAAACACAGAGAAGCTAATTTGGGCTGTGGTGCATCAGGAAAAGTTGCCCCATGTTCTCTTGCCAGTCTGGGGCTGCCAGGGATCTCAGTGCCACAATGAGGGGTTCTGTGGGGTTCTGCTGGAGGTCTCTGTAGAACTGATGTCAGAAGACATCTTCCAGTTCAGCTACAGCATCACACTTGATGTTGCCATTTGTAGAATTTTTATGATTCATCTACTTATTTTCTTTCCCACACATTTCAGGCATGTTCAGAACATGAGTGAGATAAAGACTGATGTGGGGAGAGCCAGAGCCTGGATAAGGCTTTCTCTGGAGAAGAAGCTTTTATCTCAGCACCTGAAGCAACTGCTTTCCAACCAGGCACTTGCAAAGTAAGCTGGCTCCTTTTCTCAGTGCTTTGCTTTCATGTCTGCCTTAGTGATGTCTCAAGGTGCTGCTGCTTGTGGCACAGCCACACACCCTGTTTGGGTACTGTGATTTCCAGCTAGAAGTAATTGAAGGGCAGAGGGTAGCTGGGGGAGGAGGTACTGCCCACCCAGCAGGGCAGAACTCTGCTCGTCCGCATGGAAAATGCATCACAATTTTCAGGAAGGAGGCATTAGATCATGGTCAGATCAGTGCCTTGATCCAAGCCACATCACAGCCCCTACACTCATTGTGTCTTTTGCAAATGAAGCAGCAGGGACAGGAATGCCCCATCTCACAGCAGCCCTGCCTTGGGCTGACTCCAGCCAAGCACAGGCCCCCATCCTGACTGCCCATGAGCTGGGTCAGAGGCCAACCCTCCGAGCCTGTTCTCCCAGCTTTGCCTCCTTTTGCAAGTACAGGCACTTAGGGATCACCTGTGTAGATGTCCCCTGACTTCATTTTCCCAAAGCAATGCATTTAGTAAAAAACCCTCAAACATTAGGAAAAGAAAACATCCTAGCTGTTGCAAGTAGTTCTGGCTCTGTAATGGGTTGCATTAATGATTTATGCCAAAAGCTACCAAATACTCTGCTAGCAGGAAGAAAGAAGAGTAACTGGAGGCAGTCACCTTTTGGGAGTTCAACTAAAGGCATGGTGACAGACCTGTCTTTTCCTGAAGGTGCATCTACATCTACCTACCTCAGCAATTCTTCAGGAGTCTGTTCCTTTCAGACTACAGACCTTGTCACAAGCTCTGTGCTGTCTCAGAGCGGGGCCAGTTTAATTCCTGGTGTGCCTTTGCACTGCTTAGGGCAATTGGTGATGTACACTTGGGTCCCTGAACTGAGAGAGTAGTGGGAGGATCCCATCTGCTGCTTGGTGCCTTCGGCTTAGTTTTCTCTGCCACGGTATGGAGAAGAAGATTAGACAAGATCATTCCAGAGTGGGGAGATATGGGAAAGAAATGAGGTTGCTGTTAGGTTGGTCCACGTCTGCTGCTGTGAGTAGTGTTGGTTCATATCTGTGCCTTGCAGCAAACCCAAAACTGATATGAACTCTGTAGCCTTGCTGTGGGAGCGTGGAGCCAAGAGTGGTCTGTAACACAGATGTGTAGCAGACTTACACACCCTCCGTGGGTTTCTAGCAGCTTGTGTTGGTGGGGAATCATGCCTACCATTAAGATCCACTCTTCATTTGATATTTCAAGATTCAAACACCTTTTAAGATACGTGGTGCTTTTTTCAACAACAGCTACAAAAATATGCAATGTCTTTGTTTCTACCAGGAAGCTTTACAAGCGTTACGCTTTCCTGCGCTGCGAGGAAGAACGGGAACAGTTTCTGTATCACCTGCTCTCACTCAATGCTGTGGATTACTTCTGCTTCACAAGCGTCTTCACCACAATCAGTGAGTTGGAGAATCAATTTTTTTCCCCCTGAATAAAAAGTAGTTGCTGTCATGATTTGTAAGAGACGGTGTTGCTGGTGCCTGAGTAGCTGAGCCGTTCTCTGGAAACCTTGGTTGTTGCTGCGAGGCTGCTGGGTGTTGCTCTGGGAAACCAGCTGGAGGGGCAATGTTGTATGGAAGTGCTCTGGATAAGAGCATTGCACAAAGGAGAGTAATCATCAGAGTGCCGCTCTCTGTGTAGTTTCTTTCATCTTCCCTCCCAGACAAGTCCTCTACATGCTAATGCTTCTTTCTGGTCTTGCATTAAGCATGCACCATAACAGTCTGTTCTCCTCAGACTGAGAAGGAGATGGAAGATTGGAGGATGAAATACATGGGACTTTGTGCTCCACTGTGTACTTTAAATCTCGTTTTGTCTCTCCTTAAATGCCAGAAAGATTCCCTCTCTCATCCTCTCTTTTAAGGAGGAGAGCAGAGATTGGACTGATATCTGAAAAAGAATCTTTCGTCTTTCCAACACTGGTCAATGTGGAAAAGGCAGGGTCCCATGAGATGACCTAATTATTTGGATTCACCTGGGCAGTTCCTAGTCTTCATTTCCCTGCCTGTTCAGAGTGAAGTGAAGCAAGCTTTACGTGGCTGTCAAAGCAGGCACTCATTCTACTTTTTCTCCTCTTAAAGCAAGAAATCCCCTCAGAACTAACACAGCGCAAAGAGATTTATTCATCCTTGATTACCTTATTTCTGCGGGGCATCTGGCTTGACAGCTCTTCCCTGTAGGACAAGTGCTTGGAATCTGAGAGTATTTTTTGAGTGCAGTATCACTGGATGGCACACAAAAGTAAAAAAGGCTGGCTTAGCTTCCCCAGTCAAAAAGGCAGCTTGTGAAACATAAGGAGAGAGAGAATCTTGCAGTGCTAGAGGTGCAGTATCGGGAGTCAAATCCAAATTGGGGTGGGTGGCAGTCCTTGTCTTAAGCATGTATAGATGGTACAGATTTAAAACCAAAATAATAAGAATAATAAGTGGGGAGGTATCCACAGAGACGCATCATACTTGAGACTTTGGCCACGCCAGCATTATTTACTGTAGCCTTTCAGTACTTGAAGGGGGCCTGTAAGAAAGAGAGGGACGAACATTTTATCATTTATCTGTTGCAATAGGACAAGGGGTAATGGTTTTAAACTAAAGTAGGGTCAGTTTAGATTAGCTATAAGAAAGAAGTTGTTTATTTTGAGGGTGTGAAACCTTGGCACAGGTTGCCCAGAGAAGTTGTGGATGCCTCGTCTCTGGAAACATTCAGGATCAGGTTGGACAGGGCTCTGAGCAACCTGATCTACCTGAAGATGTCCCTACTCACTGCAAAGGGGTTGGACTAAATGGCCTCTAAAGATGCCTTCCAAACCAGACTGTTCAATGATTCTGACATTCGTTTCCCTCGTATCCTGCCGTGTACCCCCTCCTCCCCGGATCCTGCCGCAGGCGGGTTCGTCCCTTCCCTGGGCAGGCTGCGGAACTTTCCCTGCGCTGCCCCGGCTCTGCGGGTTCTGCCGCGGGGCTGCAGCACCACCGTGCGGCACCGCCGCCCCCTCTGAGCACAGGGAAGGAGGGGTTCTCCTTGGTTGTTTGCTGAGACAGGGAACAAGAACTTCCCTTCAAGGGGAAGGTGTGCTTTGCTCCAGGAATCGAGTTTACTGTAAGAAGAAAGAAAAAAAAAAAATCAAGACTAACGTACTTCCCCCCTCCCCTTCCCCGCCCTGTTCTCAGTGATCCCTTACAGGTCAGTGATAATTCCCATCAAAAAACTGAGCAATGCAATAACCACATCAAACCCGTGGATATGTGTGTCAGGAGAACTAGGAGATACTGGGGTAATGCAAATTCCCAAAAATCACCTAGAAATGACGTTTGAGGTGAGTACATGCTCTTTACATTTTACTTTTCAATTTGAAACGTGCTTTCAAATAAACATTAATTTGGTCAGGGGTTATTAAGAGCAGAGTATTTCAGATTCTGTCTCAGTTTTTAATATGTACAAGAAAATAGTGCTGCCTGCCCCTCCTGTGTGAGATGAAGGTTTCCTATGAGCACGTACCACTTTTAAGCACAGGCTTCACTGCCATCCCTGTCCCAGCCCAGGACTCCTCACCTAGCCAGTCTGTTTCCATATCTCATTCTCTTCCATGCCTCCTTGCCTATTTTTCCCTTTCACCCCTCATTTCCAGCTCCTCATCTGCCTTCCAAGTTTCTTTTCCCTTCTTTCAGTCCGTCTTTCCACTTACCACCACCCAGGTCCCTTTCTACATCTGGGCAGTTCCAGATTTCTTCTGCTGCTCCAGCTCCTTGTCCAGCATTACTGCTTTCCTTCCAGCCAGGCAGTCTAACCCCTGAGCTCTTCAACACCCCAGCCTCTGGTGCTGGCCCCTGGAAAACCCAAGAGCTGCCATCCCCACCGGGTTCTCTTCTCTGAGCTTGCTGGGGTTTTCTCTTTAGGTTTGATTTCCCAGTGTTCCCCTCTGCTTTCCCGCCCATCAATTACAGGTTGGCTTTGTGCCACACCAAAGCAGCTGCTAGCAGGAATTGCAGGGAGAGCCCCATCAAGCTCCTGCAGCTCCCTCCAGGCTGTACCATATCCATTAAGGAGTGATTTTGTAGGAAAATCTGCTGCTAAAATTAAGGTTGTATCCATGGAGCATATGCAGACTGACCTTCAGCAACAATAGCAAAAAAACCACTGTTGCCAAATATAGGTAGATTTTGACATAGGGAGGATATTTTTGTGATAAATGCCTGCTTCTCATTCAGATACTACTATTTCGCAGAAAAGATCTCCAGGCTTCTAACAAGCAAAATGACATATTTCTAAGGACTGTATTAATGCTATTCTGGATTATTCTTTTGGCTGAAACTTTCCTAAAATATCAACTTGGGTAGCCACCCACTATGGAAAACGTCAGCCCAAGCTGCTTGTTTGGCAGTATTAGAAGCAATGAAAACCAAGGTCTTGCAAGGGAAGTGTTTAGGTGACATTAACAGATGTTGCTGCCAGCCCCACCTACAGTTACATAGAGCACTGGAATTCACAGCCCCTTGTTTTCCTTTTTCTGTGACTTTATGGTGCTAAGTCTCATGTAGGTGATTTTTGTTTGGCCCCAAATAAGCATATCAATCTCTGAAAATAATAAAAGATCTAGGGACTGCTTCGTAGTATAGAGTGAGTTGACTGAAGGTCAGTATGCTCTAAATGCATTTTTGAAAAGCTGTTTTTATTGAAGACCTATTTCTTCTACAAAAGCACACCTTTTTATCATCTCAGCTCAGAAATTTGTAATTAATACTTCTCAAAAATATTGAGTGAGTGCTCACAACAAAGAATATAGTCTCTTCACAAGCTTTTAATAGTTTTATTTCTTTGCTCCTGTCTTAAAATAATTATGCAGTTTTTCAAGATGCTCTACATGTTTGGTCAAAAATACTTGCTCTATAAATCAAAGGAAACTGAATAAAGGCATACATTTGAGACCATATGTGTGCATGTGGTGGGGGTGTGTGTTGTCTGTTGTTTTTTAAATTAAGTAAAAACTGTTACTCATTTCAGTGCCAGAACTTAGGGAAGCTGACGACTGTTCAGATTGGCCATGACAACTCAGGGCTGCTGGCCAAGTGGCTGGTTGATTGTGTCATGGTCAGGAATGAAATAACAGGACACACGTACAAGTAAGCAACAAGCCTTAATTTTCTTTGTCTGAAATTCTTCTGTGCTAAATTTAAAGAAATCAAGAAGGCATTCACCTTCTCCTTAGTTGGTGGAACACTGTGTGGGCTGATTTGGGTCCCCGATAGGGTTGGGTTGGTCTCCCCCACCCCCAGTTCTCTCATTTCAGAAGGCCTAGTTGAAGTTAGATAATCTGATAAATGAGAGTTGAATGTAGGATTTTCTTTGCATCATTTTGAGACAGGACAGACAGTATAGATACTTTTGAAGTGATTCATGTGTTTGTGTCTAATAATTAAATCTCTTTTTTTAAAGTAGTGTGATAATATTGTGCACAAATTAACTCTTCAAACCCCAAGAGCTGAAATCAGAGTTGGCAGATCTTTGGTTTCTTTTTCTTTTAAGAAACTCTGATTACAAGAAAATAAAAGGGTTTGATGATTTCTTAATCTTCTATTGAGTACATACCTGTGTCAAAAGTCTCCTAACTCATCATTGGTTTTACAAAACATCTGGCTAAGCAGACTTAATTCTATTAAATGTGAACTTGGAAAACTAGAATGCAGAGAGGTGAGCTCCAGAGCTCAGAGTTGGCCACTGCGTACAGGGGAAAGTAGGAGAAAATGGGGTACAGGGGCTGGGGGTGTGGACATGTTCATGGATTTCATTAGGACTGTGTATGGACTCAAAGAGTACAGCAATAAAATGTGAGGTGAGTATAAGGAGATGTCACAGCTTCATCTGGGTGGGAACTCTCTGTGGGGATTTAGTTGTTAATCATCACAATGTTTTTAAAGGCTGAATATCAGTTGTGGTTGCAAGTGAAAAAGGCAGAAAGCAAGATGTGGACTGTGAAATATGTGTATAACCCAAGCTTTGTGTATTTCCTTTCCTATGGATGATCAGTTGGGGTGCAGGGGATGCTGCCTGCAGGGTTCTGGTCTGAGAAGTTTCAGGGTACCGAGTACTCCCTGCCTGTTCTCAGTGTTTTTTGAGTGCTAGCTGTCCCTCTAGCTTTGAGATCAAGCTGCACTACCTGTGTGTCTGACCTGTGCTTGTCCTGGGTGTGTGGCAGGTTTCCCTGTGGGCGATGGCTGGGAAAAGGTGTCGACGATGGCAGTTTGGAACGGATACTCATTGGAGAGCTGGTGTCCTCCACGTCTGACGAAGAACTGGGAAAGCAGTGCCGAACCCCACCCCAGCAGAAATCTCCTACTGTGGCTCGGCGACTGAGCATCACTTCCCTCACAGGGAGGAACACCAGTAAGTCCTTTCCTTTCTCCCCAGGGCCCTAGAGAAGGGGGCAGCAATTGCTGAGAAGAAAAATCTCCAGTGAACAGGAGAGGTCGTCCTGAAGCAAGGCTTGGTGCGGAGGAACAGCTGCAAGCTGATGACTTTTTCCTGCCCCAGTTTGTGTTTGCTCAGTGATGCACACATTGCCTCTTTCAATGTCCCCATTTGACAATTGAGGGATAATAATCTCTTTCTATGGAGCATGGAGATGTGAGATGAGGCAGGAGGAGGCAGCAGAATTTACAGTAGCTGATGCTGCTCAGCTTCCCAGCTCACTCTGCAGTCAGTGGGAAGTTCTCTCAGAAGGGCAGTTCAGAGCTTGATGTGGATGCTGTGAACTGCCTTCCGGAGGAGCATATCTCCAGGGGGACTTAGGGGGACATCAACTTCACATCCCTAAAATTAACTTTTATGAGTAACTGCACCTGGCTACAACAGGACATGGGAATGTAAAGGTCATGCAAGGCTTTCTCTGCTAAAGCATAGTGTAGATCCTGGTCATACCTCTGTCCAGCTCCTGTAAAACTACAGGACATGACTGCTGAAATGCCAAGCCGGGAAAGATTAGCGTCCAAGAGTAATGCAGCATTTAAAAACCACCACTTCAGCTAGTATGTTCTCCATCATTTCACAGAGCCTAATGCAGGACAGATCCAAGAGGGAATTGGGGAAGCTGTGAACAATATTGTGAAACACTTTCACAAGCCAGAGAAAGAGGTAATTCCTTCTTTTCATTACTTACCTGCATATTTTTATAAACAGAAATGGAACTGAAGTACCAGTAGATGCACTACGTTTAGATTTGAAGTTTCTGGCACGCAAACAAGGCAAGTTGTATTTACCAACTCTCCCTTTCCCACAGAGGGGGAGCCTTACCATTCTCTTGTGTGGAGAAAATGGTCTGGTTGCAGCACTGGAGCAGGTCTTCCACCATGGATTCAAATCAGCTCGCATTTTTCATAAAAATGTCTTCATCTGGGATTTCATAGGTAAGCTGCTAGGTGATTTGGAAGCAGAAGGGAAAGAAAGATTAGAGCAAAATGACTACTCACACACACAGACCTTGGATTCTCATCAGCTAGGGTGCCATTTCTCCTGCCAAGCACCTGCTCCAGGTTGCTTAAAGTCAATAAGAAAACAGATGGAAGGTGAGAAATACTAAACTCTGTGTAAGGGAAGAGTGTGAGCCTGTGCAGAAATTTAAGAGTACTTCAGATTCTTGTAATTTATTTGTAGATGAATGTTCAAACAGCTGCTTTTCTACCCAGAAAGAAAGTAGGCTGGAGGTTGGGGTAGAGTAGGAATTGATGTTTGGAGGAGAGCTGGGAAAGGGAAGGGAATGAAAGGTTTAGATTTCTAGTTGCTCTTGAGAACTCTCCTAATCCCTGTGCTGGCCTTCTGGTGATGCTTAACCTGTAGGCCTATGTTGCAGTAATTCAAGATGTACTTACCCCTTTAAAACGGGCTCACAGGCTGAGATACCCAGCGTGAGGTTCAGTGCTTACTCAGAAAAAGTGAAAAATCAAAGCTGATGATATCACTTACAGTGAAACCCTAGATAGGTGCTCTGGAGCAGCTCCTTGATGTTACCTGGCTGTATTAGACATCAGCCAGTCTGACCACTGCTGTGTCATTGAAGATGTGGACATGACCACCTACCTGTGATCTTCAGAGTGAGGAATCCTTATATAAACTGTTCAAGACCTCTCAGCAGGTTTTTCTTTTAAGGCCTCCCTCGTGTAATCCTGTGTCATAATGAAGTACTTCTGCTCACTGAGTTCTGATTTTCTCCCTTCCACAGAGAAAGCTGTTGCTTATTTGGAAACCAGTGATCAGATTGGAGACAATGAGGAGGCCCTTTTGCTTCAGAGATCTTCATGCAAAACCTTCTGTCATTACGTGAATGCCATCAATACAGCTCCAAGGAACATTGGAAAGGATGGCAAATTCCAAATCCTGGTTTGCCTGGGGACAAGGTACCTGACTGCTCTGCATTATATGTGTCCTCTTGCATTAGACTAGAATATTTTTACACCGATGTTATTACCTTTAGACTTCCATTTTAAGGCATGCCTATTTTAGGCAGCTCTAATACTATGTGAGAATTGAATCAAAGAAGCAGTAATGATACATGGATAGTGTCTAAACTGCTAAAAATGTTTTGAGCTTTTTTATAACTGTTAGCTTGACAGTCATATGTATGAAATCTGCCTTGAAACACTGTTTTTGATGAAGTACTGATTTTGGGAATGCAGAGTTTCTTTTCAGGAGCTGATGAATTTCTAAATCCTTATTGAGTTGCCTATGAAAACAGGTTGTCTGTTATAATTTTGACAGAACTATTCTATATGAACCTTTCTTTCCTAATAGGATGTTTTCCGTCTTGCATTTGGAAGGGGGGATTAGTTGTATTTTGGAGGGTGGAAGTTGATATGTCTAGAAATAGGTACCATTTTTGTCTCATCTGCCTGGATACTTGGAAAGCCAGTTGGAAAACAGTCTGTTGGGTATTGTCTGAGTTTTACTTTCCCTGTTCCTGATCTGAAGATGTTGCTGAATTCTTATATGTGTCCAGTTCTGCTGATACCTTTCCATTTTCATTTCTACAGTATGTAGTATTTTAGTAACAAAATCAGGAGTTGTAATTACACAGGAAACATTTATGTGCAAACAACACACGCCACTCACAAAGAGGGACTGCGTGTTTTGGGTTGTGTTCTTGGGGAAGAATTTCAGTTTGAGATCCGTTTTGCTTGGTGCTGAAACATTTCCTTTCATCCCCTTTTCAGGGACCACTTGCTCTCTCAGTGGATCCCATTACTGGCAGAGTGCCCCCCCATTACAAGGATGTATGAGGAGAATGCTCTCCTACGGGACCGCATGACTGTCAACTCCCTTATCCGAGTGCTACAGACATTGCAAGATTTCAACATCATCCTAGAAGGATCACTCATCAAAGGAGTGGATGTTTAGCATGGCTTTGCTGAGAACTTCATTATTCCTTTCCCAAGCAAGCAAACCACTGTTGGAGACTTGTCAGGACTTGAACACGATGGTAGTGCACCACTGTAAGGCAAAGCTGCCGGTTGAAGCGGAATTGGGAAGCCCGGTTTGTGCCCGATGGGGACTGTCCTATAAAGCTGCAGAAAGCTAAGATGCAGTATTGTAGTTTATTTGAAACAGAAATTTAGTACAAAAATAGAGTATTTTCATGTGTTTAGATGTGTGTAAATATGCTATCTTCTTTAAGAAATTATATTACTCTAAGAAATTTTTCTTAGACTGAATGTTCTTGTTCTGACTATGAGTAGGTTAAACCTAGGGGAAGGACTTGGGGGAGGGAAGGACCAAGGTGGGAAGGGATGCCACTACTTGCTTGTAAGGAAGAAGCCAATCAGTGTGTAAATACAGCGCAAACTCAGCAGGGCTTTTTTCAGGTATTGCAGATTAATACAGCAAATATCCTTATGTAGCCATTGTGATTGTGTTACTCTTGGAAATGTTGTAAGCATATGCTGGTTTACCCTACTGTACATGGTCTCTCTTAGTTTTTAGTTTGTTTGAAGGCTCACCTTTCCACGCATGGAAGTTGTGAGCCATCCATTTTTTTTTTTCCTGTAAGTTCTTTTGTGTCACTTCTGTTGATCTCCAGGAGGAGAAACATGTTGAAATGCTTAAAAAATGCAGAGGAGGACTGCTGTCAGCCTCAGAACCTGAGGCACCATGAGACATCTGTTTAAGCAGTGCTGCTGCAGCCTGAGATGGGGAATGATGGCTTGCTTGACTCGCTCACTGTGTCTCTTCTCTGCACATCCTGATGATTCCTCCTCACCATTGGCCAGTTTATGTTGTGGATGACCTTTTTCTTTTTTTCCCACATTGAGGAATTTGGTTTATACCAAATTCTTGCTGTACTCGAGAACAATCATTGCTGTAGAGCCACAAACACCGATGTTGCTGTGCTTCTGAACTCTATCAGCTGGCTTTGAAATGCTGACAGATTATAGTCTTCCTTTATCTTGCAGAATCAGTGTTCCTAGGGGAGTACAGGATCTTTGATTACTTTTTTTTTTTTTTAATTTAAATGATCCAGCTACAAAAAGAAAAGGATTTAAGTAAAAGGAGGAAAAAAATGAATCTCACTTTGGTATTTTGAGGCTTCTCTCCTGCACTTTTTCCAGTTAATGTGTTACTAATATGGAGCATATATATAGATGCAGCTCCTAATGAGGAACTGGAAGCAACTGAAATCCTGTATGCTACAAATTGAACAAGAGATTGTATAAAGATCATCTTGTGAATACCATGCAGCAAATACGGAGAGTATTTTCCATTCTTGTGGATGGGAATTGGAAGGATCTGAGGACACAGTTAGCTTCACCTGGTTTTAGGTTTTGGAGGTTAGTTTGAATATAGGTGTTTGATTCCATTTGTTTATTCCCTATGATCTTGGGCATTTTGTCAGTGGATTTCTTGGGAAAGACAGTCTCACTGTCAACTGTGGCTTGGGAAAGGCCCCTGACTGGTACTGTAAGTGTGTTGCCTCGCACTGTGCTCTCACGTGGCATTAGAAGGGACTTGGGAATGGTGGACAGTAGCAGGTCTTGGCATAGTGTGCACATTGTGGAAAGAGGGATGAGAGGTAAGGAAAAGGAAAGAGGACGAGAATTAGGGTTTGCTTTCTCACCTACCTTTTGTCAAGCTTCTCTACTTTCCTGTGGTCCTCCTGCTGTCCAGTTCTTAAAACGGCACTTACTTTAGTGTCAAAGTTTCACATTATATTCCTAGCCAGAAGAAAACTCTTCATGTGACTTTGTTTCATTGGAAAGGAGAGTTTTATGTTACAGAAGTTTTTTTTTTTGTTTCTAAGAAAGAAGTAAAATAACGCTGTCAAGGAGTCTTCAACTTTAATGAGGGTTCCAGCATTTCATAACCGTTCTTTCCTCCTGGGCTTGTGCTTCCTTAAACTAAGTTCATCCCAAACATTGTAGGCAGCACTGCCATGTCACTGCTGTGGGTGTGAGTAACTAACATAAAGTCTGTGAATGGTATCATGAGTTAGACATCTCTCTTACGTTTCCAGAAATGCGAAATTTGGGGTGTTAAGGTTTTCTGTGTGGCCAGGCAAGACTGCTTAAAGTCAGCACATGATGCATGACAAACCTTCAGCAGCAATTGAAAATGCATTCCTAGTACTTAACTCTATCAATGAATTATACATTTAGCACCAGAAACCATGTGGCAGCATTATTTGGTAATGACTGCTTAGGATGTTTTGATTTCTATTACAGCTCAGGCCTTTTATGTCTAATGACTGCTATACAGGATTTTTTCACGCCCAACCCAGTCTAAGTGACTTTCATTTTACTGAAATAACCACCTCTTTAGTCTTTGGATTTCTTCACATCATCATCTGCATTTACTAGCTGGATGCTTCCCAAAGTATACTGCTGCATACTTCTCCAAAGGCTATATATGACTTAAGCAGTCGTAACATTCATCTGACATGACAAGGGTTAAGCACAAGCAGAATAAAGTAGAAATGTGGGCACTTCTAAAGGTCATTCATCTAAATGAATAATCCACATGAAGAGAAAAAGGCAATAACTACGTGAAGTCTTTCTTAAGTTAGAAGAAGAAAACCTGAGAATTTTAAAAATTCAAATCAGGGCCTTTCCCCATTTCAAACTACATTAAGAAACCTTTGAGCACTTAACACAACTTCATCAGCTTTTTCAGCAAGTGTTGACTTGTTTGGTTTTGTCAGGTTTCACATCATGTTAATAATAATACAATAAAAATTATGTATGTCTCATGTTTCCTTGTAGGCAATAAACCACCCTAAGATATGTTGAAAGGGGCACAGCTGAGTGCCTCGGATTCCTAGAAGACTAGTTCTTTGACAACCTTGGGAGTACAGCTCTTCGTAGTGAATTTTTATTCCACTATGTATGATTAATTTTTTAGCGGACTACTTTTGTTTATTGGAAACTGTGAGGTTTTTTCTGTAAGGTTTACAGAAATCATTCTACCCACGGTGAGAAACCCACTGGGATTCTTCTAAGCTAACACAGTTTTTACTTCAGTGTTAAAGCACCTTCTTTGGTTGAGAAAGGGAATCTTGGAAAAGACCAAAGCTCTCTGGTATCTGCTTTTTTTTAAAAAAATAAAATACTCCTATCCCATGCCCGTTTGCAGATGTCTGAGTTTGCATAGTCCTGTTATACTAACACCCAGCATGGTAGCTTGAGGGAGTCAGAGAATCAAATGCCTCACTATGTACAAAATATGTATTTATAATTCTCTGAAATAAATGAAATCGTACTGTTTAGTGAAAAATCTGCTCATGTTTATTCCAAGTTGGTTTGTGTAATTAGATATCATTGTTCAAAAATGTGGGTTTTTAGGATAGTTGCGCAACAGCATATTTGAGAAAATTCCTTCTTTCAATCAAATGAAGGTGCGCATCTTAAGGGGAAATATTGTGTGTTACACTTGAAATGTACAAATGTGCCCTGTATAGCTTAAAATGATCCTTAAATGTCTCCATTAAGTATATTTTGTCTTTACATTACTACTAACTGAAATAAGAACTGGATTATTTTCAAGACGACATCAGTAAAAGTATTGCTATATCAAGCACTTTAACATACATACCACAAACCGACATGGGTTTTTCAGGTTTTGAAGTACATTGAAATACAGCTTTTCATGCTATGTCCTTTACAAATAAAACTGTGAGAATAATGGTTGGTGTCACTTTCTCCTTGCAGAGGAACCAAGAGATTCGGGCCTCAAGCAGAAGAGCTGCTCTGAACCTGGAGGGCATGTTCCACAGAAGGAACGAGTCCAACGAAATGATTAAGCTGATGGTGACTCCTGGTAGTGGGAACTTGCTGCAGCAAAGTGGGGGAGAAGGGAGTCTGAGGGCCTGCTCTCAAAACCTGTCCTTCTACCTCCCCTGACACAAAGGGGAGGCAGAGACTGTGCTGAGCCTGAGCAGCTCTTAGGTTGAAAGCAGACTTAGGTGGAAAGCATGGCTGATAAAAGGGAAGAAATGGGATCCCAGTGAAGCTGAATTCTAACCATGGTGGTATTTGCCAGGCACCCTGTGTTCCTTTGCTCTTGGTATCTGGAATATTGGGGAGAAGGAGGGTAGGATCCTGTTGGCAGCAAAATGGCAAGTGTGGGAAGCAAAAGTGTTGGAAGCAAAATGGGAACTGTAGCCACGGATCTCTTTCCTCTCTTGATGTGAGCTGCTCTGGTAATTTCAAATGTTGGAATGAAACTCATGTCCTCCAGTCTGTCAGTGTGTTGTGTAAGAAGAAGGGTTGATGGACAAGAGAGAGATGGATGCCTGCAACAAAAAGATAATGAAATGCCCTGCTTTTCCAGGTTGGACTGGATTTTCAGAAATTTCCCCCATGTCCCTCACAGCTGTAGATTTGGTGGAATTTGCAAAAATAGAATTTTTGAAAACCTGATAGTTGAAATGCAGACCCCTGCATGTATGTGTGTGGGGCATGTCTGTTCACTCATGTTAACTCTCAGTTTTGAAAAGGCAGAGAATCTCAAGAGAGGACTGTCTCAGACCTTAGGATTATATATGTGGAAATCCTGAAATATATTATTCGCTTATGCTGGTGTTTATCAACAGTGTTGCAGAAAAATTATAGGATCCCATAACTGTGGATAAAATCTGTAGGGCCGCTTGTTGTCAAATGTCAATGGGAGGAGTGGCCGTGCTTAATACTGCACCTGCTTACTAAATGTGTTAGGCTTATGTATGTAAATTAGAGATAGTGAGATCTGAGATCTCAAAGGCAGCAAGTACTTGAAGTATGGCAGGACTAAGCTTGTCCAGATGAGGAAGTGCAAATAACTTCCTCTCCACTGCACTGTCCTTGATGAAGTCTGGGAACACTGCAATGTTTTCTGTGAAGGGTAAGCAGAAGAAAACTGAGAAAATGGTAGGAGTTGAAAGAGCTCACCAAGCTTTTTTTCCTTCCAGCATTTCAGGTAAGCTTGTATGATAAAAAAATTATGCTCAAGTTAAGAGTGAAGCTGCTTCCCTGACTGTCACCCCATCAGATCAGAGGCTGAGGCTCCTGTCATTGCGGTCAAGGAGCATTTCATTGCTGACATTCCTGTTTTCTCTCCTGCTATTCCATCAGATATGTATCATTATAAGCCGGTTTGATCTCAGCACAGGATTTGTAGGGAATGGGAAGATTTCTGTATGGGTCTGCTATCTGGTGGCTGGTTATGGTAAACTATCCGCCGAAGCACTGCAGAGCTGATTTGCCAGTGGAAAGCTGGAGTTCTGTGGGAAAGCTTGACGGTTTAATGGGCCCATCCGTATTCCCTGCAGACCTCATAGGGCATCTCAGATCCTCTGAAGGAGCTTCTCTCAGAATGTGACCAGACAAATTATTTTCTCCTTGAACCAAGCCCATCTTTGTCTTGGGGGGAGCAGAGAAAAAGCCACAGGGGGAAACACAGCCAAAGCCCCCCTGGTCCTTACCCACAGCATATTTTTCAAAAGACATTGCTGTAAATGACCTCATTGCTATGTCATCTAGTGACAACCTTGTTATCATTCAATAATGAGTTCAGCGGGATCCATAAATGTAAAATAGTTGTGGGTTCTATCAGAGAGACTCAGGTGTTCGTACCAGTTACTCTGAGTAATACAGTAATATATGGACCTCTTGGTTTTACATGACCTCTTCCCTGAATCCACTGACTTTTAGACGTGGCCAAAGCAGCCAGTTACAATGGGTGAATTGTGGAGTGGTCTGTTCACCCTGTTTCCAGTGTTCAAGCCCTGTGTAGGGTGAAGGGCTAAATAAGTGAAGATGGTGAATGGACAACTGAGTTTTATTTGCAAAGTGCATTTGGCAGGACTGTGCAACAGATATAATCCCCAAGAAGATCTCAAATGCTTATCACAGAGCATCTCTTCTCTCAGCAAGACGCAGGCATGGAGAATGCAAGAGATGTCCCAATCCTCACACAGTGCATTCGGTGATAGATTTTCTCCTGGTCCCACAGCCAGCTGATACTAAAGCCTAAACTAAAGAAAAAAAAATAAGCTCAGTAGTAGCCAGATGTTGGGTTTGGTGCTCTGCAATCCTTGCATTCTCCTGCTTAGGAACACAAAGGCTGGTGTTAGCCTAAGGAAGCCATTTTCCTTGCCCTGCCTCTGCAGCCAGTGGGAAAAGATGGGCTCCTTCAGTAGGCCTTGCAAGGAGAAACCTCACTAGGCTGCTTTTAATTATGCCTAGAGAAGTCCAACAGAGGCAGCTTGTCCCTGAAGGCTAAGCTAGCATTAATCTTTACGAATATTCCCCCCAGCACTGTCCTCCCATACTGAGTTCATTCCTTCAAAGGCATCCAACTGATATATTGGCATGTTCTTTACACATTAAAAAAATGAAGAGTTTACAAGCGTGAAAGGTTAAAGTGATGGACTCAGGTAGCTGTATTTTTACAATATACTGATAATTTAGATATGAAGACAAAGTCCTTATTTGTCTTACAGAGGCACAGGAGAGAGACCAGAAAACGTGGCTTCAATTTTTAGGTCTCTCTAACTTCCACCAAGAACTTTAGGCAATATGCTTACAGCCTATCTTGCAGTTAGGGAGTGCTGGGAGTTCAGTGGAGCCAGTCTCTGCCTCGCCAAGGTAGGTTGTTCAGCCTTGGGGTCAGCAACTGCTCATCCTGCATCCACTGGTGTGTGACTGAGAGCTGCTTTTCAGTGCTGCTGTGACAGAATTGACCTGAGGTCTCACCTGTGGTTAAATCCAGTTTAAAGGCATTGGTAAAACCTGTTGATTGGTGTTGGTGTGGGCATGTGCCAGTCTGTCAAGCAGTATATTGTTAGAGAGTTTTGTAATCATTAGGAGAAAAGAACAGATTTTCTTCCTACTTAGCTACAATACAGTAATTACAGTTACTATCTGCAATGTGATTAAGCACTGCAGAAATGCATATAAATACTTGCTTGTGTGAGGATGGCAGCCAATTCCCTACCAAAAGGGAAGAAGAGGAAACAGATACTTTGCAAAAGCAACTTCCCTGACTTTTTATCTTGAGCCTATAGCTCTTCTAGGAGGTACAGACATTCATTAACATTGGGTAAATCATGTCCCCTCTCTGCCCCACAACCTGTCCCTGCTCATTGTAAGGCCAACTAGATCATCAGCCAGAAAATGCATGGAGGAAGACATATGTAGTGCTCACCAGAGATCCTGAGTAGTAGTCAGAAATTGTCAGTACAACCGAGAATCATCTTTGTGGTGGTGGTGTTTGGTTGTGATTTTTGGGTTATTTTTTAAGGCATGGATTTAATTACAAATGAACTGGGAAGTCAGACCCAAGACTATGCTTCTGTACTTGAAATAGCTGTGAACTCTTCCATGAAGTGTCCTTAGCCTGTTCCTTCTACTCAATGGTCTCACCTGAATTAAGTTTACCTGCTTGCACACATGCAGCTTTTGAACTGTCCTTACCCCATGTGATAAATAGGATGTGTTCTAAACTGGACCATGAATATGAACCCACCAGCTTGGAATTAGTGTGGCTACTGGCTTGCCTGGGATCTAAACTTCTCTCAGATGGTTTGTGGTTCCTGATTGTTTAAATAGTATGAAGCTGGCTGAAAGTGGGTGTAGTGCACAGGACATTCTCTCCCAACCCATAAAATTACTTTCAGAAAAACTGTATTCAGGGAGCATAAGTGGAAACATCACTCCATGGCTCTGCCCAGCTTTAATGTTCTTAAAGCTGTGGAAAAGGTTTCCATTCATGTTAACAGGAACACGGGAGAACTAGGAAAAACTTGCAGACCAGAGAAGCTATTTAATTCATCCTCGACATGGACTCTGTTAGAAGAGAATTTCAGATGTCAGCAGGAATTTGTGCTAGACAGGGGTAGTGTGGGTAGCTGTGTTCAGTGAGAAACAGGATAGCTGCTCTGGGCTTAGCTATTTGTATTTAACTGGCACAATGCTAAAAAGTGAGGAATGAACTAGCTGATCTTCAATTCAAATGTGTGTTCTGAGAAGTGCAAATACAAGTTGATCCACTGTGGCTTGCTGAAGCCAGTGAAAGTTCCTAAAATTGATGAGTTTAGACAGGCATTCATGAACACTGTAGTCTGCAAAACCTATTAGTTTGTGCACAGAAGAGAAGCAACTCTCTTATGGGAAAATAATAAAGTGACTACTGTTGCTACTTTCAACACACAGCATTTATTAAGACAGTCCCAGTCTTATACATAAGAGTTTGCTTCTAGGTGATCTCAGCATTTTAAGTACAAATACTTATCTCTGTGAAGGGCCAGGCTTGTGCTAATGAAGATATTCAAAAGCCTTGCGTTCATCTCTTGGTTGAGATAGCCTGGAAGAGAAAAGTGGAAGTACACAGGGTCTGACAAACAGAAGATTGACCAAGAAGACTGATGGTGTTGACTCTGTGTAGAATTGTGAATGGCATGGCTTGTCTTATCACGAAGTGCAGGATGTTCTGGGCAGATCCCTCCCAGCCCAGCATCACAGATTACATTTGTGGGCAAATCTGAGACCCCATTCGCCACAGTAGAGCAGGAACCAGCCACAGAAGACAACAGTACAGGCATGTCCATTTCCTCCTCTCCACAGTTGCTCCAGGCTCAAGTTATCAGAAGCATTTTGCAACTAAATGCACTCGTCCATTTTCCATTCACATCTGGCCTGTAGCCG